CGGTTGACTACACGGGAGTCCAGCGACATAGCCATTATGCCAACTGCTAGTCTCGTTAAATAAGTTTTAAAGGAGGAAGATAAGCTTTATTTTTCCCTTTTAAAAGTGTGCTAAATATAGGAGTGTTTCTTATAAGAGTAAATTCTTACTTTGTAAGGTAAAAGCTTCAAACAGTGATAGCGTGTACTTGAAGCGAAACAAGCCACATATAGTCCATGGTTTCTTAGTGCATTTTTTTTCCATTTGTTTTGTTTTTAAAACAAGCTGTTGCATGTTTTATTAAAGAAAAATGTTGCATGGTTTACTTTTCACTGGTCTGTTCCAGTATGCTTCTAATGATATTGGAATCATCTGGATCAATGATATCAAAGTGTTAATATGTGTTTTCCACATGTTGTGCCAAGTTCAATATTGTTTTCACTGTAGTGATGTACACCAGTTTTTACCAACACGGCATAGTACTCTATTTTGGATTTTCTTCAACTGGTCAGTTAGTTGTTGGCAAGGATGACCAACTTCACTTTGTCTTGTCTGACCATCTTCAGAGTCTACTTGTACCTCAACACATCCTTTCCACTTTTCCTAACAAGTTTGGAGCCTAGCGTTGATTGACTCCATCGACTTTTTCATCTTCTTTGTGGCTACTATCTTCCTGCCTTAGGTACCAGACGTCCCCCAAGCAAGAGCAGCCACCAAGATGTGGAGGATGGGGGTCAAGAACAGCTCTTAGTGCATTTTAAAGTTATGTTTACATTATACTAATGTCTAGTAAATGTGCAGTAGCTTATGTTTTTAAAAACACATGTAGCTTATTAAAAGCTATTTTATTGCTGAATATGCTACTGATCTTCTGGTACCGATCATCCGAACCTTCAGTGAGTTATTTTTGCTGGTGAATAGTCTTGCCTGTTAATGGCTGCTGACCGACCAGGGTGGTGGTTGCTGAAGCTTAAGATGGTTGTGGCAATGAAGTTTGTCACATTTAAGGACTTTTGTGAAAGATTTATCTGTAGCACATGATATCATTTAATGACATTTTACCCCCAGTAGAATTTTCTGAAATTAGGACCAGTGTAATGGCTATGTCGCTGGACTCCCATGTAGTCGACTGTGGTTCAAGTCCTGGACCTGGTGGCTTAAACTCACAGGGGGGCATGTGCGTGCGTGCCCAAGATCCCGACAGGAGAATGAAGGAGAAGGGATTGCAGCGTGACCATCACCCCTGAGGAGCGATTTCTTGCTTTCTGTCTCTCTGTCTCTCTCTGTCTTTCTAGCGAGCGCACGCGCCTTGTAGCAAAAACCTCTCCAAAAAAGAACTTTCTGAAATTGCCTTGTTAACTAAGTTTATATAATCTACATCTTTCGTTATCATTTCAACAATTTTCACAGTATCTTCATCAAGAATAGATTATATCTCAGGAAACCACTTTCTTTGCTCTTCCATAATAAGTAATTTCTCACTTGTTAAACTTTCACATTGAAGTTGCAGCAGTTCAGTCACATCTTTAGGGTCCACTTCTGATTTTAGTTTTCTAGCTTATTTTACCACATTTGTGGTTATTTCCCCCAGTGAACACCCCTCAGCGTTGTCCATGAGAGGTGGAATTCATTTTTTCCAAACTACCTGTAATGTTGATATTTTGACTTCCTTTGTATGAATCACAAATGTCTTTTTTTTTTTTTTTTTAACATGAGGGAGAGATTGAACACAGGAGGACACAGAGAGAGGAAGACACAGTGTTTGCTTCTTGTGTCTTGTGATCCTCGGCCTGTGCCTGGCCTTACAGGTTGTCTTAGCATCTGAACCTTGCCTCTGATGTGACTCCAGCCTTCTGCAGTGGTACACTCCTTATACTACCGTGACTGACTGAATCATAAATGTCTTTAATGACATCTAGAATGATGAATCTTTTCCAGAAGGTTTTCTCTTTACTTTGCTTAAATCCATTAGAGGAATCATTGTGGTTTCACTGGTGATCTGCAGACTGGATACTGTGTTAGCAATCATGAAAGCAATATTAGTCTCCATCAGAGCTCTTGAGTGAGCATTAGAAGTCTGGTTTAGGACAGCCTCTTTAATCAATTATTTTAGCTGAATCTTTTAGATAATATACGTATAATTTACTTAGCTTCTTTATAAGCACTTGCTGTTTCATCTTGTACTTTATATTTTGAAGATAACTTTTGTTCTTAAACCTCATGAAGCAACCTGTGCTGCCTTCAAACTTCTCTTCTGCACCTTCTTCACCTCTCTCAGCCTTTATGGAATTGAACAGAATGAGGTCCTTGCTGTGGGTTAGACTTTGGCTTAATATAATGTTCTTGCTGGCTTGATCCTGACCACTGGAATTTTTTAATCTAGCAGTAATAGGCTGTTTTGCTCTCTTATCATTTGTATGTCCACTGAATAGCACTTTTAATTTGTTTGAAGAATTTTCTCTTTTTATTTATTACTTCCCTGTTGGGGGCAGGGTTCTGAATGATCTTGGCTTTCAACATGCCTCACTAAGCTTGAACATGCATCTCTTCCTTTCACTTGAACACTTAGAGGCCATTGTAGGCTTATTTATAAGTTGCCTTAAGGAATGGCCTGTGGTTGGAACAGTCAGACACATACTTAGTAAATTCATCATCTTATGGATGTATTTCATGGCACCCCAAAAGCAATTACTGATCAAAGATTGTCATAACAAATACCATAAAGATGTAAAAGTTTGAAATATTGCAGGAATTTCCAAAATGTGACACAGAGACATAATACGAGCACATTACTGTTGGGAAAACGGTACAATAAACTTGCTTGCCACAAACCTTCAGTTTAAAACAAAAAACACCCAGTATCTGTGAAGTACAATAAAAGCACAATGTTCAGTAGTACTGGCTGCCACTTTAATTTTAAGTTGGATTTTATTCTCTTCGTATGAATCTCAGAAAATGGAATGCTTTTTCTGTCAGCCTCTCAACTCTTTTTCCCTTGTTTATCTTTTATGGACTTAGTTGGGTTGATATTCCAGCATTACTAAATCTTGTCCCTTTAGCTCTTAACCCTATGGCAGCTTGTTATAGGAAGTGATTTTTCTCTCTTCTGGTGTAGCTTGACCTTGACTGTGGGCTTGTGGGTTCTCTGTAATTGGAATTCTTCTAGGGTAACATTTATTGCTTTCTCTGTTATTTTAGCACCCAAGTGCCAATTTTTTGCTGTTTTTAACTAATTTGGAACTGTGGTGTGTACTTGTACTTCAGCCGTCCACACCTTAGGGGATTGTCCTAGGGTTTAGTCCAGTGAGCCCCACCTCATAAATTTCTTTTCTTTTCAAGAGTCTCAGTCTCCATCTGCCTATTGTCATCTTGTCTGTTGCTTATCTGTTACTCGAACTGTGCTGCCTCATAAACTTCATCTGGTTTTATTGTTGTTGATGGAGAGAACAGCCAGAAATAGATGAGCTCTTAAATCTCTCAAAGTAAACAAATTCTTTACTCTGGGGTCTGCCCTTTTTAAAAATAAATAAATAAATAAATATACGCCCCCATAGTTAAAGCATACAAATCAGAAACCACATTTTCACTCATTAAAGGAGCCATTTTTTCTATTTTATGCAGCTTATTCGTCACTCTTCAGACAACTGTAAGGGCACAGTGTCTCTTTGGGATATATTCTTGCAGAAAAATGCTATCTTCTGCTGTACCTCTTGCCAAGCAGACATAACTCTATCATAGTTAGGACACTTCCATTTTGTTTCAGAGCTACTTTTAGTGAATTTGCAGCTAAACATGCTAAAGATTCAAGATTCAAAGCGATCGAAAAGATGAAAGATCGTGAAGCCTTGTTTAATGAATTTGTGGCGGCTGCAAGAAAGAAAGAGAAAGAAGATTCGAAGACCAGAGGTGAGAAGGTAAGATGATGTAAGCTCTGGTGGTGTGATTGATGAGAGTGCATGGGAAAGGGGCTAAGCCCTTTCTGTGTTTCTGAACTCATTTATGAACATAAATAATAGGGCTTAAATTTACTGTGTTTTTTTTTTTTAAAGATAACCTTTATAATTGTTTATGTGTATGTGTTCTGCTACTTTCATAATGCTTATTTTAGTAGTTTTGCCTAATGCTACATAGGTTTGCTTTAAATTTTATTAATACTGATGTTTGGTAACCCCAGAACAAATTGTTAAGGACTGCCTGCTCAGTGATGCTTGCTAAGTGCCTGCTAAAATTTCAAGATTCTTTATAGGTGTTAACATTTGAATTTCAAAGAGATTCTTTATCTTTTTGCCCTATAAAAGTAGCTTTTTCATGACTTTTTAATCTTTCAGTAAACACATCTTACATATAAATTATTGCTTATCAGAATTAAAGGTCAGCTATTAAAGATTAATGAATTCCAAATGTCATTTGATAGCAGTGTCAGGAGTGGAGAGGAGCTCACCACTGGGGAGGCAGGCTGGTAGGGAGATGACACCAGTGGTGTGTGAGCCTTCAAAACATACAGTAACTCTCTTCAGTGTCCCAGCATGCTTTGTGAATGGAAAAAAATAACCTCTGGAGCCCAGTCATTCTTGACATTTAAAATTGCCTTTTATTCTGGCAGTTTTTAAATATTACAAATTCGATTTAAAAATGTTGGAGAAATAATGATACTCGGACTGAGAAGCAGCCTTTTTATTACAGTGTTAAGTAAACAATTTCTAATCAGAAATATCTGAAACTTCTTGGTTATCTGATTTAGTGGGTTTCAAAATAAAGTTTGCAGAATTATCTCAACTTAAAAAATAAAAAATGATAATGGTTTTCAGAGGGAAAGTGTAAAATCAAGTTCTATTACATAAACATTTTGTTTGTTGAATTAGAATCATGAATACTATAATATATTATGGGTAATAATATATTATCATATTATGAATAACATTATTATGAATTATTAGAATAATGAATTATTTGCTACTTTTTTAGAATTACCCTGTTTGATTAAAGAAAACCAAGTAAATAAATGATTGTTTGCTGTTACATGATCACTTTCAAATTCGATGTATTTCTTTTTGCATCTGTATCTAATTTTCTTTTTCTAAACAGCTTTTTTTGGTAACTATATTATGTATTTTCTTTTATAACAAGAGGATAGACTTTATGGTTTTGTGCTATGGGACCTGTCAATCAGTTCAGTCTGACAGCTGCCAGTCACTGACATACCAAGTATTATGGAATTCCCTAGTGAGGAAAGAATTGGTATCTCTCTGTGGTGACTTTAAACTCCTGCAGTTCCGGTACTTTACATTTTTTTAGTCTTTTCTTATGCAGTGATGAGAATTGTGCCCAGAATTGTTTATTTGAAAAAAATAAATTAAATAAGACATTACATCTAAATAAACCTAATATATGTGGTTTTATACTCTTTTACTTGTAAAATTTTAGTTCTATAGTTGTAAGTTTGGTTTCATGCCATCGCTAAATTAAAAAAAAAAAAAATAGACAAGAAATTACCGAAGTGAATTTTCTCAGCCAGTTTAAAGAATGCAAAATCCAGTTACTACAATGAAGCCATCAAAATAGAAATAAAGTTTTAAGTGCTTAAGTAGATTGTATATTTATATTCTAAGAAGCATTTGGTTAATGAAATTTTAATACTTTTCCTACAAGATTTCATTGTATTTATACAGTTCTTATGTATTGCCAATATTGTTTTTAAAATCACATTGTCATCGTATAAGACAAGTGCAGTAACATGCACTGGAGCAATTTCCTTGTTCTTAAGATTCTCTAATTGGCCTTTTTTGGGGGAGAGAGGTTTTTGCTATAGGGCACGTGCGCTTGTTAGAAAGAGAGAGACAAAGTGAGAAATCACCCCCTCAGAGGGGATGGCCATGCTGTAATCCCTTTTCCTCCATTCTCCTCTTAGGATCTTGGGCACGCATGCATACTCACCAAGCGTGAGTTTAAGCTACAGGGTCTGGGACTCGAACCACAGTCAACTACATGAGAGTCCAGCGACATAGCCATTATACCATCTGCTGTTCCCCCTAATTGGTCTTTATTAGTACTGAAATAGTTGAATCGGTAATTGAATAGTGAAAATTTAAAGCAATTACTTGCTAAGTCAAAAACCCGTAAAGAAGGACTTATGGTGAAATCTTTCCTTCTTTAATAGCATTTTCAAATTAGAGTTTAGTCAGCATTTTCCTATAGTTTTCCATCTTATAAAAATGCCCTTAAAAGTCTACCTATTTTTAATAGACTTGAATTCATTTTGCTTAGCAAAGCAGCTGTTCTCAAGATTTTGTTGTTTATTATCATTGTAATAAATTGTTATAAAATTTTGGTTCAAATATTTTACCTTTTGAAACAACACACAAGCATTTATTCAGCTGTCAAATAATTCTCATACAGATACCACCTTTCCTAAGCCATTTATAGCCTGCTGCGATAATTTCCCACAATAAAAGGAAGTTAACATTTGATATTGTTAGAATTCACTCTGTTTAAATGTCACACATTTTTAAAATTACATGATTATCCTTATTTTGTAGGCTTTGTGTTTAGTATTTGAAAACTGTTTTAAATTCATGTAAATTCCTATAGTTTAGTAAAATTCCTATTTGATTTACCTTTCTTACTCTTTCTTTCTTTCTTTCTTTTTTTCTTTTTAGAGGTTTTTGCTATAGGGCACGTGTGCTTGCCAGAAAGACAGAGAGAGACACAAAGTGAGAAATCACTGCCCACGGGGGGGGG